ATTACGCGCCTGCTGCCTTCCTTGGATGTGGTAGCCGTCTCTCAGGCTCCCTCTCCGGAATCGAACCCCAATTCTCCGTTACCCGTTAATGCCATGGTAGGCCAATACCCTACCATCCAAAGCTGATAGGGCAGAAACTTGAATGATCCATCGCCGGCACAAGGCCATGCGATTCGCAAAGTTATCATGACTCACCACAATACCGGGGTCTCCCCCGCATTGGTTTCAATCTAATAAATACGTCCCGTCCGCCGAAGCAGTTGGGAGTCGATGCATGTATTAGCTCTAGAATTACTACGGGTATCCATGTAGTAAGGGACTATCAAATAAACTATAACTGATATAATGAGCCATTCGCAGTTTCACAGTACAAAATCGTTTATACTTAGACATGCATGGCTTAATCTTTGAGACGAGCGTATGACTACTGGCAGAATCAACCAGATTGCTATTCCCACCGAAGGAACACTAAGTGTCCTTCAGTCGCGACTCGACCTCAGTATAAAACCGAGAGCCTTGGCGCTTTTTGCAAATAGCGTAGAGTGACAGTCGCCGAAGCAACCGTCGAACGACCGGTCCGACGTAACTCCAAAGGGCTTCCCCAATGGAACGTCGAACCACTCGATCGTGTCGAAGGATCAACCTTCTCGCACTTTCAAGCGCCGACACCGAGAGGACCAAACGAGCAAAGCACACCGACCTCGACGCCCGCCTGCGAGATGCAGGGCGAACAGTCGATAGGCAACGGTCACCAGTATTCGTTGGCTCCCGGAGTAGGGCCTTCGTTGCACGCTCAGCGACCGAGACCTGGTTCTACTAGAAAACCTATCTCGACCACTGGTCGCATGCGACTTGTGCACAATAGAACCGGTCCTACGAGTAGGACCACTCTTCGCATGGCGTACCAACGCAAGAGCTTCTATCAGGTCGCGCAGACTCAGCGAACTGAGCTGGCGGTACTTCGTGGGACTGGGAGTAGTACAACTCAAACCAGTCGACCACTCCGTAGTAAGACACTGATCAGCCCCAAGCGAGACCACTGATATCGACCAGTGGACCCACCCAAGAGACTCTCGTCAGTCTACTGAACCGCTCGACTGTTCATTGCTGAACTGTCGACCGGCGGGGAGGCTGAAACTCATTCGAATTTCTGCCTCCTCCATAAGGTATGCGCGAGGCGGGGCACACCGACAAAACGACATTTGCGGTATGTCGAGTAGTCGTGATTTTTTCGACAGTATACTACGGACCTCTGACTACTCGTGACTGTTGGTCAAAAATAGCGGTGCCATTTGCGGGTTGTCACACATTTATCCAGTCCCGGAGTAGTCACACGCTTCAATCTATCCAGTAAACCCGCGTCGCACCGTTGGCAGCCCCGGGGCAGCCTCCCCAAGCTTGGCCATTTGGGGCAGCTTTCGGCCGCCGGCGCCGCGCGGCACGTCGTCGCCGCCGCCCCGCGCGCCGACGCCGCCCTCCCGGCCGCCGCCACCGCCTCCGCGGAGCCCCCCGGGACCGTCCTCGGCCGCGGACGCGCCGCGGTCGGCGTCGGCGACCGCGCTCTCGCGCTCGGGCAGCTTTCGGCTCGTCCCGGCGACGGCGCGGTCTGCACGCGGCCCCGCGGTGCACCGGGTTCCTCGGCGCCCGCTGAGGCTTTGATCCGCTCGTCGAACCCCTGGACCCGGTCACTGGCGCCGTCGCGAGCTCGCGCCGCGCCGAAATCGGTCCGCGCTCGCCGCTCCGAAAACGGGTTCCCGAGCGGGTCGGCCGCGCGCGGACCGCGGCGTCTTCGGGCTCCCGGAGCTCCAGCGCGGCGCGTAAGGGTCGGCGACGATGGGGTCGTGCTCGGACCAGAAGCTCGCGCCGAGCGGTGCCGGTCGGCCGACGTCGCGCGGCTGTCGCTCCTCCGACGGGATCGACCGACCGGCTCGGAACGGCCCGCGCGGCTGCGCGTCGGTCGCTCGGGCGTCGTCGAGCTCTTGGGCCACGCAGCCGGTCTTGGCAATGATACTCTGGAACCTCGGCGGGCGACCCGTCGGCCGCGCGGCTAGCGCGTCGCCCGCCGACCCCGTCCCGTCCGGACCGAACGATCCCGGATGCTGCCGACGACCGCCCTATCAGCGAGGGCCGGTCGCGCGTGCGCTAGAACAGCGTAACCGAACGCGCGCGCGCCTAGGCCCACTGGATGGCGAGGTTCTTGGCCTGGGCGGCCTTGCGGAGGAGGAGCGCGCCGACGGAGAGGCCGCCGAGGAGGAGAAGGAGGAGGAGCGCGTAGTTGAAGTAGTCGGCGATGAGGTCGAAGGCGCCGCTGGGCGTGTGGCGGCAGCCGAAGACGTCGACGCCCGTCGCGAGGACGAGGGACGTGGGCTCGAGCTTGGCACGCGGCGACGTCGGTGCAGGCCGGACGTGGTTGAAGCCTTCGTTGAACCAGAGCTGTGATCGACTCCGCATGCTCTCCGTGACTTGAGATCTCCCAGTGCGCCGACGCGTATCCGCTCATGGCCGGCTGGGGCTCCGCGACAACAACGACAACAGGCGGCGGCTGGGGCGCCGCGGCTGAAGCAGCTCGCTCGCACGCGAGTTCAGCGGCTTCAGGAGGCGGCTGGGGCGCCGCGAATCCAAATCCTTCGGATTCTTCTGGCTGGGGCGCTGCGCCCGCCGCGAGCGGCAGCGGCTGGGGGTCGGCTCCCGCGAGCAGCAACGGCTGGGGCGCGCGCGACGAGCCGCGCAGCGACGGCTGGGGCGCCGCCGCGCGCGCGGACCGCGGGCCGCCGGAGCGCCGGAGCGAGAATCCGCCCGCGAGCGGCTGGGCCGCGGCTGCCGCGGCGCCCGCCGCGAGCGGCTGGGGCGCTCCGGCCACGGCGAACGGCTGGGCTAGCGAGAACAGCCGCGACCAACCGCGCGCCGACGGCGGCGGCGGCTGGGGCCGCGGCGCCGACGTCCGCGACTCGGGCCGACGCGGCGGCGGCGGCGCCGGCTCCCGAGCGCCGGCGCCAGCGCCCCAGCAGCGGAGCGACGGGGCCGCGGAGTCGCGGGATCCGCCGCGGGCGCTCGGCCGCGGCCGCGAGCGGCTCACGCCGGCGTGGATGAGCGAGCCGCGGTTCCAGGCGCGGGACGCGCCGCCGCCGCCGAGCGCGCCGCCGCCGAGCGCGCCGCCGCCGAGCGCGCCGCCGCCGAGCGCACCGCAGCCGCCCGCCGCGCCGCCGCCGCCCGCCGCGCCGCCGCCGACGCGCGAGCTGGAGCTCTCGGTGCGGAACGCGGGCGCGGGGCTGCCGGAGCCCATCGGCCGCGTCGCCGCGGTGAGCCTCTACGGCGACGCCCTGCTGCCGGACCGCCTCGTCCTGCTGATGGCGGCGCGGACGCGCGACCGGGGCGCGCTGGAAGGCCAGGACCTGGGCGACGCGTGCGTGGTGGCCGCGACGGGCCTGCTCCGGGGCGACGACGCGTCGCGCGCGCGGCTCCGGCGGCTCTGCGGGGCCCTCCGCGGCGACGCGTCCAAGGGGGCCAAGGCCCTCGTGCTGCGCCTCGACGAGACCCGGGTCCTCGCCGTCGTCCCGGACCCGCTCGGCATCTCGCTCGAGGCCGAGGAGGTCGGCTTCGTCGTCTACGCGGGCGCCGGCGCCGCGCGGCTCCTCGAGGCGCCCAAGGCCAAGGCCAAGGCCCGGCCGGCGCGCCAGCGGTCCGAGTCGTCGGTCTCCCGGCGCTACTCCGAGGACGCGGCCGAGCCGGCCGCGCCCGAGCCGGCGCCCGAGCCGCCCGCGCCCGAGCCGCCCGCGCCCGAGCCGCTCGCCGAGCCGAAACCGCGAGGCCCGGTCGTCACGGTCTTCGGGCCCGCGCCCGCCGAGGCGCCGGCGCCGGCGGCCGCGCCCGACGAGGAGACGGCGAACGACGCGCCGGCGCACGTCCCGCCGTCGGTGTCCACGGACGAGCTGCTGTCGCGCGTCTGGGCGCGGTCGTCGTCGCTCGTCGCCGACGAGGCCGAGGGCGAGGCCGAGGCCAAGGGCGAGGAGGCGCCGGAGCCCGAGCCGGCGCCGCCGGTCGCCGTCGCGGACGCCGCGCCGCCGCCGCGGCCCGCCTGGGCGTCGCCGATCCCGGGCGACGGCGAGTCGACGCGCGCGGCGGTCGTCGACGCGTGCGGCCGCGACGACGAGACCATCATGCTCGCGCTCAAGGCGTGCTACCTCGTGCGCAAGGAGTCCATGGGTTGGGCCCGGGCCTGCCTGCCCACGATCAAGGCCTTCCTCGCGCTGCCGTCGGCCGAGGTCCGGGCCGAGGCGCGCGCGCTGCTCGACTCGTGGAAGCCGCCGCCGGCCGCCGCGCCGCCGTCGTCGCCCAAGGCCAAGCCGCCGACGCCCAAGGCCAAGCCGTCGACGCCCAAGGCCAAGGCCAAGGCGCCGGCGACCAAGCAGCCGCCGACGCCGCCGGCGCCGAAGCCGCCGACGCCCGAGCCGGCCGTGCAGGAGAAGCCCGTCGCCCGCCGCGAGCGCAGCGCGTCGCTGCTGAGCAACTGCAGCAGCCTCGCGGAGAAGGAGGCGCTCGCGACGTCCCAGATCCTGCGCCTCCCGTCGCCGGCGCCCGCGGCGGCGCCCGACGTCGTCGAGGGCAAGGTGACGAAAGCCATGATCGACGACGGCGCCTACTCCGTGCGCGAGGCCGAGGCGGTCTTCGCGGTCGGCGAGCGCGTCGAGGCGCGCTTCGAGCGGGGCGCCGAGTGGTACCCCGGCGTGATCGCGGCCGCCGGCGGCGGCCTCTACGACATCGCCTACGACGACGGCGACTGCGAGACCGGCGTCAAGGCCACGTACATCAGCCTCGTCGCCGAGGCGGCCCCGGCGCCCGTCGCAGCCGCGGCGCCCGTCGCGGCGCCGGCGCCCGTCGCGGTACCGGCGCCCGTCGCGGCCCCGGCGCCCGTCGCGGCGCCCGGGAAGCCGCGGCCGAAGCGCAAGGCCGCCGCGCTCAACGCCGCGCCGCCGAGCCTCGCCGCGCCGCGGCCCAAGCGCGGCAAGGTCGACGACTCCTCGCTCGTCGGCCGCCGCGTCCGCGCGGGCGGCTGTTTCACCCACGACCTCAACCCCACGCCCTACGACGGCGAGGTCGAGAGCCACGACGCGGCGACGAACACCTACGTCGTCTACTGGCCCGCCGACGACAGCGAGACGGTCTACACGGAGCGCCAGCTCCGCAGGGTCCTCGTCTGACCTGTATAATAAGCAAGCATGCCTGTGTTACATCGCGCCTGTGTTACCGCGCGAGCTCGATGTCCAGCAGCGGCGGCAGGCCGGACATGTCCGCCGGCGCCGGGGGCATGCCGAAGATGCCGAAGAGCCCGAGCTGCGCCAGGGAAAAGGCCAGGCCCGCGACGTTGGGCCCCCAGACGTAGAGGTCGTCGATGTCGCGGCCGTAGAGCGTCCAGAGCAGCGAGCACGCCGCGGACGCGAGCGTCACGCTCGGCGCCATGGACGCGGTGGACCGCGTCGAGAGGACCCGTTTGATCGTCGACAGCGGGCTCGCGAACATGGCGACGCAGGCGCCGACGCCGACGCGGCCGACGAGCTCGAGCAGGCCCGCGTCCCACGCGGCGAGGTCGCCGCCGGCGGGCGCGGCCTTGTCGACGCCGCGCCACATGGCGCCGCGCGCCGCGAACAGGAGGCAGGCGAAGCCGCCGACGACGCCCGTGCGCAGGCGCCGCGCGTGGAGCTGGAGCGGCGGCTTCGCGTGCCTCGCGAAGACGCCGAGGCAGTAGACGCCCGACGCGCTCCCGACGGCGTTCGACGCGACGAGGGGCACCCAGTCGCGCACGATGATCCCGTAGACGACCCAGATGCTGCAGTTGAGCGCGATGGCGCCGAAGGGCACGGGCGTCAGCGCGCCGACGTTCCTCTCGCGCGTGATCTTTCGCGCCGCCTCGAGCGGCGTGAAGAAGACGGCGAGCGCGGCACAGGTCGCGCCGAGCTTCAGGAACTCGCGCAGCATTGGTTTCGCGTGTTTACGCGGCGCGCCGGCGGGTCGCGGACGACGGGTCGCAGACGACGGACCGCGACGAGGCGCACGGCGGCCGCGCGCGTCGCGATGGGCTGCCTCGCGGCATCATGGGCTGCTCTCTCGCTGCTCGCCGAAACATTCCACAGACATGCACAGCACTGTGCAGTGGCGCGCTGGGAGGGCTATGGAGATGCGAAACTGAGTGCTGTCTCACACACCGATCGATAGCGGTTGAGACGCGCAACACGCGATACTGGGGATACTGATGCTCGAGTACGCGACGCCGCGGCGCTTGCTGGTCTGCGGCAAGAACGGCGCCTTGGTGCGCGAGGACATCGATCCGAACAGCGACTCGCAGATCGTCGCGACGCTCGAGCGCTTCGAGGCCGCCGTCGCCGTCGGCGAGCTGCGCGTCGGCGGCAAGACGCGGCTCCAGCTGACGTCGCCCGTCAGCGGCTGGGCGAGCGCCTCCGTCTTCGTCGAACGGGAGGACGTGATCACGCGCGACGACTGGGCGGCGACGCGGCGCCGCGCCGAGGCGCTCAGCGCCGCGGGCCGCCACGGGCCCTGCGAGGTCCTGTCGACGGCCCCGCTCGCCTTCTGCGTCCGCGACTTCGCCACGGGCGCCGAGTGCGATCGGATCATAGCGGAGGCGACGCCGAGGCTGTCGGCCGCGCTCGTCGCCGGCGACGGCGCGGGCGAGCAGGCGGGCTCCTCGCGGAGCGCGCAGGTCGCGTGGGTGCCGCGGTCGCCGGACGACCCCTGGCTCGCGCGCCGCGTCGCCGAGCTCATCGACGTGCCCCTGTCGCACGCGGAGTCGCTCCAAGTCGTGAAATACGGCGCCGGCGGCGAATACAAGCCGCATTTCGACGCGTTTCCGCTCGACGCGGCGCGCGGGCGCCGGGCCGCCGTGCGCGGGCGCACCTACGCGGGGCAGAGGCGCGTGACGGCGATCTTGTACTTGAACGACGTCGAAAAGGGCGGCGGCACGGCCTTCCACTCGGAGACGCCCGCGGAGTTCGTCGTGCGGCCGCGGCGCGGGTCGCTCTTCGTCTTCTACAACTGCTACGAGGACAGCACGGACCGCCACCCCATGTCGCTCCACGCGGGCCTGCCCGTGGCGCCGGGCGGCACGAAGTGGATCGCGAACATCTGGTGGCGGTCGTCGCCCTACCAGAAGACGTCGGACGTCGCGGCTCCGAGCCGGGACGGGGGGTAATTTTGAACTATGTTAAAAAGGGCTGCGGCGGTGTTGATTCGCCGGAAGTTGGCCCCGGGGCTCGGCGCGGGTTCCGACAGCGGACTTGGTGCCGTCGGCGAACCCGCGCGGGAGGACGTCGTGGCGTCGACGTTCCCGGGAGGTCGTGTCGGGGGGGTCTTGGATCCGACTCGGGGGTTGGTGTTGTTGTTTGGGAGACGGTCGCGGCGCGTCGATGCTCGACGACTGCCAAGGGGACCGTCTAGACGGCGGCGACGTGCGTCGCGCCGGGCTCCGTCACGCAGCGGGGCGCGATGGGCACGTAGGGCGCCGCGGCGCGCGGGGGCTGCGCCGCGGCCGCGGACGGGTCGGCGAAGGGGTCCATCGGGCCCTGGTGTTGCCGGGGCGTGACCGACGGCGTCTCGACGACGTGCGTCTTCGCGAAGAGCTCCTGGATGAAGGAGTCGCGCTCCTTGAGGAGGCCCTCGAGCGTGTCGACGCGCTGCTGGAGGCGGAGCACCTCGCACTTGGGCGGCGCGGGCGCCGGCGCCGGGAAGGCCGCCGGCGCGTCGTCCTCGGACTCGGCCTGGGAGACGACGCGCGCGGCGAGGAAGTGCGCGGCCGGCGGCGCGGCGGGCTTGTGGACGACGGCGTCGGGCGACCAGGGCGCCGTCGCGGGCCACGCGCGGCCGATGTCGGCGGAGAAGCGGCGGTCCGCCGGCGTGTCCGGCGGGTTCACCGTCACGGGCACGGCGGCGGGGCGGATCGTGACGTCCGCGGGCAGCGACTTGCGCGCGTCGTCGCCGAAGGACGGCCGCGCGTTGTGCGAGTTCCGGCCGAGGCCGGAGGGCGTCGCCTTGCCCGCCGGCGACGGCACGGAGGCGATGGCCGCCGTGAGCGCGGCGAGGCCGTCGCCGGGGAAGCCGGCGGCGCCGCCGACGGGGCCCACGGACGGCCGCGCCTCGTCCGCCGGCGCGGCCATCTCGCGGAGCGAGAGCGCGGCCGCGTGCTCGTCGTCGACGGACGGCAGGCGCGGCCGCTTCGTCGGCTGCTCCTCCGCGGGCTCGCCGTTGCTCGACGACGTCGAGAGGTGCTCCATGCGCTTGATCTGGCAGAGCAGGTCCCGCCGGTTGCGCACGAAGAACGCGTGGCTGAACTCGCTCCAGCCGCACTGGCCGTTGGCCGCGGAGAGCTTGCGGCGGCGCGTCTTGCGGAAGCCGTCTGCGGAGGGGAAGAGAGGGGTGAGCGTTCGCGCGTTTCCGAACGAGCTTCCGGAGATTCGAAGGCCGCCGCCGCGCCGCGGGGCGATGATGGGCTTTGCGAGGCGTGGGATGGCTTTTCGAGGGGGTATGGGATCGAGGGCGAAGGGCGCGGACGGGCGCGGCGAGGGTGATCGGCGCGTACGAGACGGTCGCGGCGAGAGCGGAAGGCGTCGCGGTACGAACGCGTCGAGCGCGAAAGGCGAAAGGGGTCGACGGAACGGACGCGGGCGCGCGCAGCAGCTGAGCTGGCGGCAGAAGGACCGGAAGTTCGTGTGCGAGAAGAAGTTCGGGAGTACTTGGTGCGTGATCGCCTCGTCGTTGACGAGGAAGGAGAGGCCGTCCGGCGTCCAGCCGCCCACCTCGGGCGGGCAGGACTCGACGAGGTTCGAGAGCTTCGTGAGGAAGGGCGCCACGCGCTTCTGCGCGTCGCCGTCCGGCGCCGCCTCCATCGTGGACGACCGGCGGCGGCGCGGGGGCGCGCGCTTGAGCTCGACGGACATTTTGTCGTTGGGCGAGAGACCTGCGCGCGTCGGTGGTGTTAGAGCGCGCGGCTTTCGACGGCGCGTCGTCGTCGCGCGCGCGCGCGACCGCGACGGACGCCGCGTGCGCGCTGCTTACCGCGAGAGCGTAAACGACCGCTCTCAATTGCAAAAGCGACGGTGCTGCGTATTGCCTGCCAACCGCCGGAGAGCGCGGCTCAACTTCTCAAATTTCGCCAGGGGTCGTTTTTTTGCCACACTTAAATAATTTAATTACCACCGTAGGGGGCCCTGCACAACGGTGCGTGCCGCGGTCCCCGGCCACGTCCCCGGCCCGTGCCCGGGCCGTGCCCGGGGCCCCGTGCCGGGCCCGTGCCGGGCCTCCCCGGCCCGTGCCCGGCCCGTGCCCGGGGGCCCGTGCCGAGTGCCGTGCCGCGTGCCGGGCCCGTGCCGGGCCGCGTGCCCGGAGCGCATTTACCGTGCCGGAACCCCCGTGCCCGCCGTCCCCGGCCCCCGTCCCGGGGGCGGACCGTCGTGCAGGGGCCCGTCACCGTGACACTTAGTTGGCTGATGGAGAAGCTTAGAAAGTGACATACCTACTTACGCCAGCAGCGCCTCCACGCGCAGCGCCGCGTCCCGCACCTCGAGGTCCCCCCCGCGCAGCAGGCCGTCCTTCGCGCGGCGCGCGAGCGCCGCCAGCGCGCCGTCGGCCCGGAGCGACGCGTCGCGGAGCGCGTACGCGAGCGCCAACGCCGCGCACTTGGGCAGGGGCGTCGCGTCGCCGACGGCGCCGGCGACGGCGGCGTCGACGGCCGCGTAGGCCCGCGCGCGGACGCGCGGCCGGTCCCGGAGCAGGCCCGCGGCCGCCGCCGCCGCGGGCCCGAGGCCCTCGCCCGCGGACCGCTCCGCCGCCGCGAGGCGCCGCAGGGCGAGCGCGGCGACCCGCGCCGCGAGCGCGTCGTCGAGCGACGCCTCCGGCAGCGCGCGGCAGAGCGACACGCAGAGGTACTCGACGCGCGCCTGCCGCGACCGCCGCGCGGCCGCGTCGTCGCCGCCCGGCCGCGCCAGCGCGCCGTCGACCATCGTCGCCAGCGCGGCGACGAGGGGCCCCGCGTCGGCCTCGGCGACGCTCGCCGCCGCGTCGCGCGCGGCGAGGAACGCGGCCGCCGCGGCGTCGCCGTCCCGCAGCGCCGCGGCGCTCCGCTCGAGCAGCGCCGCGGCGCCCCGCGCGAGGCACGCGCCGGCGCCGCCATCCTCGTCCCGCGCCGCGCGCGCCGTCAGCGCGTCGAGGAGCGCGCGCGCCGCCGCGGGCGTCGCGGCCGCGGCCGCCGCCGCCGCGTCGACGACGTCGTCGCCGAGCGGCAGCGGCAGGTGGTAGAGCAGCGCGCCGGCCGCGGGCCAGCTCGACGGCGAAGCTACGACGCCGACGAGATGCCGCGCGACGGCGGCGGGCACCGCCGAGTGCGCCGGCGACCGGCGCACCGCGTCGACGACCGCGCGGAGCGCGCGGCCGTCCTTGGCGCCGCCGGCGCCGACGAGCGCCGCGAGGGACCCGGCCCAGCCCGCCAGCGCCGCGTCGTCGCCGCGGTCGACGCCCGGCGCCAGGTCCCGCGCCGCCGCCGCCGCGAGGTCCGCCAGCAGCTGGGGATCCCGGCCGCCGTCGACGCCCGCGGCCGCGAGCAATCGTCGCCTCGCGTCGCCCGAGACGCCCGTGAGCAGCAGCCGCCGCACGACGCCGCGGCCGCCGGCCTGGTGCTTCTTCAATAACTCGAGCGCCGGCCCGACGGCCTTGCCCGCGAGGCCCGCGTCGACGGCGCAGGACAGGAGCGCCGCGTCCGCGCGCTCCGCGACGCCCTGGGCGAGCTGCGACGCCGCGCGGTCGCCCAGGCGCAGCGGCGCCGCTTTCGCGAGCAACTCGCGCGTCGCGCCGAACAGGTCCGGCCGGCGCCGCGCGAGGCAGCACAGGGGCTCGAGCTCCTCGAGCGCGAGAGACGCCGCGGCCGTCGTCGCGCCGGTCGCCTCCGCGCGGCGCACCGCGTCCGCGGCGAGCTCGGCGACGCGGCCCGCGAGCTCCCGCCGCGCGCTCGCGGCGTCCTCGACGCGCGCGGCGGCCTCGCCGTCCGCGACCGTCGCGGTCGCCGCCGCCGCCGCCTCGCGCCGCCGCCAGTCGCCGGGCCGCGCGCGACGGACGTCCCGCAGCAGCACGACGCCGCGGTGCCCCGGGATCGCGTCGTCGCCCTCCGCCACGTCGTCGACGTCCAAGACGTCGTCCTCGGGCGCGAAGGAGAAGCGCCGCCCGCGCTTCCTCGCCGGCGCGTCGGCCAGGAAGAGCGCGGCGACGACGCGGAGCAGCGTCGGCCGGTACGCGGACTTGCCCGCCTCGTGGTCCCGGGGCGCGGGCGCGACGCGCGCGGCGTTGGCCAGCGGCGTCAGCAACGGGCCGAGCAGGTTCGCCGCGACGGCCCGGCGCAGGTCGTCGTCGCCGTGGTCGACGAGGAAGCTCTCGAGCGCCTCCGCGGCGTCCGCGCGGCAGCCGCCGTCGAAGGACGACAGCGCCGCGCCGAGGCGCGCGGCGAGGAGCGGCGCCGCGGCCCGCACCGCCGCGCGCCGCGTCGACGCCTGCGCGTCGTCCAGCGCCGCGTTGCCCGGCGCGTCGCGCGCGACCGCGGGCACGAGGCCCGCCTGGAGCAGGCGCAGCGCGTGCCGGCGGCAGGGCCGGTGCGCGTCGCCGAGCAGCCGCGCGGCGCCGTCCAGGAGCGGGCCGAAGAGGCGCCAGGCCTCGTCGGCGTGCGCGGCGCAGATGTCCGCGAGGCCCTCGGCGGCGGCCGCGCGCGCCTTGTCGTTGTGGTGCCCGAGCTGGCCGAGGTGCTCCTCGCACGTGAGGCCCCGCTTGCTCGTCTTCGCGCCGTCCTTCTTCTGCCGCGCGATGCTCTGCTCGCCGATGCTCAGCTGGCGCGTCTGGAAGGACGCGTCCGTCTCGCCGACGCGGCGCTTGACCTTGCGCCCGACCTTGGCCTTGGGGTTCGAGAAGTCGGCGCTCCCGGCCTTCTTCTTCTGGTTCAGGAACGCGCCGGACTTCTTGCCCTTCGCCATGGTGCGCGGCGGGCTTCGGCGCGTCGAGCTGCCTCCCACGGGCTTCGGCGCGTCGAGCTGCCTCCCACCTCGCAAAGCTCTCGCTGAGTGCATCGCTGGCTTCGTCTGCTTTGTTGAACGCAGGCCAGCACGATGGTGATGTTTTGAGCGGCTGCCCAGCCTTGTTTTGATCGCGTCGGCCGGCACGATGGTGATGTTTTGAGCGGCTGCCCATCTTGTTTTGATCGCGTCGGCCCGCCCCCGCCTTGCGGACGTCGAGAATGTTAGCGCCCGCGTATCGCCGTCAAGGGCTAAACATCATGTCGCGGCTGAGGGCTGAGGGCTGGAGCTCAAGCGACGATGAAAACGCCGTCGAGGATGATGACATTTTCGTTGCGACTCGCCATGCGATGTGTACGGGTGACATAGACCCTCTCATGCGTCACATCGTAGCAGGCGCCGACGTGAACGAAATCGAACGCCCCGGGGAGGACGACTTCTTCGGGCGCACCGCTCTGCACATCGCGTGCGGAGGAGCACACGTCCGCTTCTCTTGGGTGGCAGTGGACACCTTGCTTGAGCATGGAGCTCACACGGAAGCGAGAAACTACGCGCAGGAGACGCCGCTCCATTGCGCCGCCGCGGGCAGCAAACCGCGCAACGTCCGGCGTCTGCTCGAATCGGGCGCGGACGTACGCGCGAGGAGCCGACGCGGGAACACGCCACTCCACAAGGCGGTCGCGGTCAATTCTCGAGCGTGCGTCGATGCACTCATCGCCGAGGGCGCCGACGTCAACGCGTCGAACGAGAGAGGGAAGACGCCTCTCTTCTTCGCGATTCATTACGGCAAGCTCGACCTGGCCCGGCTGCTGCTCCGCATCGGCGATGACCGCGCCGTATTCCACGCCAAGCCACGAGGCCGGAAAGTGAGCGCTCTCGTGGATCGCGTCGTGGCCGCCGGTGGCTGGAGAAGCCGCCGCGTCCTCGCCGGCATCGTCGGCAAAATCGCGCCCCTGCTCGACGACACCGCGGGCGTCGTCGCCGACTTCTGGGCGCCCGCGGGGGGCTCCCTTAACGGCGTGTGAATGGACTTGGAGGATCCAGCTTGCGGCGCTGCACGCGCTGCGAGGTTCGAGACGAATCGGGTTGAAGACAAAGTTGAACATGTTTGACATTCTTAAAAACCAGTTGCACGCGATGGCTCGTGCGTTCTCGTTGTTGCTCGCCACCGTAGCGCACGCGCTCGTCGCGCCGCGTCGCACCGCGCCACTGGTCGCGCCGCGACGCGCCGTGAAGCAGGCGCCGGAGTTGTCGCTTCTCGGGGCGGCGGCCCTGGGCGTCACCGCCGGCAACATCGCGCAGCTCGCGCTCCCGCCGATGGGCTCTCTCGCCGTGGGCGTCGCCAACATCGCCGGCTACCACCTCATCATGCGCAAGAGCGAGGCGGAGGGCGCCCCGAGCTGGCGCAAGTCGCAGGGGGAGACGCGCGTCGAGTGGGCGCGCCACGTCTTCGAGACCGAGGAGTGGACCTACGCGATCCAGACGCTGCGCAACGCGATCACGACGAACGCGTTCCTCGCCTCGACGGTGCTCACGCTGAGCGGCCTGTCCATCGGCTCGCTCTGGAAGACGGTCGTCGCGACCATCGGCCTCGGGTTCTGGCGAACGCCGGAGTTCTGGCAGCTCGCGTCGGCCGGCTCCTGCCTCCTGCTCTCGGCCTACAGCTTCAGCCAGTCCGCGCGCCTCATGGTGCACGCCGGCTTCATGTTCCCCGTCGCCGCGCGCGGGGGCGCGGTGTCCCCGGCCGCCGTCGAGGCCGTCATGGTCCGGAGCCACGTGCTCCAGTGGGGCGGCTGGCGCTGGCTCTACCTCGGCGCCTGGGTGGCCACGTGGGTCCTCGGCGGCGAGTACGTCGCCTGCGCGAGCTCCTTCGCGCTGACCTTCCTCCTCATGACCGAGGACCGCAAGCCCCCCGAGGCCGTCGGGTTGTAAGCACGGATGAAGCGACTCGGGGTGGGGGGATAGCGCGAACTTCGAACGAACGAACGCTTTGAAGCCGGAAAGCGCCCAGCTGGCTCGTCGACCGCGTCGCCGAGGCACAGACTAAAAGACGATGCGAGTTAGACGCCCCCCGGCGGCGGCGGCGACCGGCGGTGCGCGCCCGGCGGCGGCGGCGGGACGAGCTCCGCGCAGGGCGCGTCGCCGCCGACCTGGACCGGGAGCGAGTCCCTGGCGATGCTGCGGAACAGGTTCGTGAAGTCGCTGTGGATCTGGATCTGCGACGCGACGTGCTCCGGCAGCACGGAGACGAGCGCGCGGCGGAAGACGCGCGCGATCGTCGACTGGCAGTTGATGACGTGGAGCTGCCCCACGATGTAGGGGTAGTAGTTGAGGAAGACGGACACGGACTGGATGACGGCGGGGATGAGCGTCGGCATCATGACGGAGCCGAGCGTGCAGCCGGCCATGTCCGTGATCGCGCAGAGCCGCGTGATCTCGCCCCAGCCCTCGCGGAGCAGCGGCGGGTCGCGGACGTCCTCGCCGTTCTTCCGCCGCTCGTCGAAGCGCCGCTTCGCGTCGGCCAGCACGACGGCCTCGCGCGCCAGCGAGATCTTCTCCATCTGCGACGCGTTGTACTCCGCCGCGAACGTCACGAACTCGACGAGCTGCGCGGTGCCGAGGCCGCAGAGGTGGCGCTTCAGGTCCGCCGCGGGCCAGTGGAAGGCCTGGTAGCAGGTCACGGCGTTGCCCATCTTGTCGTAGTAGGCGTCGGAGCACTGGAGCAGCCGGATGCAGTCGAGCATGACGTCGCCGTGGGGCCACTTGGCCGGGTGGGGCCCGATCGACGGCACGAGGCGCCGCATCGCGTCCGCGCCCGTCGCCTCGCGCCAGCGCAGGTACTCGGCGACCTTGGCGACGGCCTTGTCCTCGTCGCGCTCTGGGTCCATGCGGAAGACGCGCAGCAGGCGCCGGTCCCCGTAGACGTCGACGTACGGCGGCGCGCGCGCGAACTGGTCCCGGAACTCGTCGCGGCACCGCCGGAGGAAGCGCCGCTCGCGGACGGGCCAGCGGCTCGGCAGCTTCGCCTCGACCATCCAGGGCTCCTCGACGTCGACGAGCGACGGGGGCAGGTCCGGCAGCGGCAGCGGCGGCGCGCGCTCGGGCCGCCCGTTCCAGCACGCCGCGAGCTCCGACGGCGGCGTCGCGGCCGCCGGCGGCGCCGCGGCGGGCGGCGCCGGCCGCAGGAGCGCGGGCAGGTAGCGCGGGAGGCACCACCAGCGGCAGGCCGCGCCGACGATGAGCGCCCAGCAGGCCGCGCGGACCGCGTCGACGCCGAGCCTCGCCGCGGCCGCGGCGGCCGCCGCCGCGACGGCGACGGACGCGGCGTCGGCGGCGCGCGTCCGCGGCGGCGGCGACGCGGCGACGCGCGCGGGCGGCGGCGCCTGCGCCGCCGCCGCCGTGTCGTCGGCGGCGCGCCGCCGCGACTCCGACGTGCAGTTCAGCAGCGGCCCGCCCGGCGGCTTCTTGCCCGACGCCACGCGCCGCGGCTTGTTCGTCGCCAGGTACGCGTCGCTGCCGAGCAGCTGCGCCGCGCGGGCCTTGCGGCCTGCCGCCTTCGGCGGCATGGCCAGCGGCGCGGCCTCGGTGTTGCGGCTCAGTCCTCGAGGCCTCGTCGACGCGTCGCGACCGCGGCGGCACCATGAAGATGCTGCACGCAACGGTGCCGCAGCATCCCATTCTTCGTGGCCAAGGTCCAGATGGGCAGCCCCCTCCCCCCTCCCACCAATGGGCGGTCGACGACGCGGCGACAATCTCGGCGAGACGCGATGTAGCGTGAACATGAGCAAGGAGGAGATGGACGCGGCGCTCAACGGCGGCTTCGAGTCGGGCAGCGAGTCCGGGTCCTCGGACGACGAAGGCTTCGAGGGCGTGGAGAACCCGCTGCAGCAGGGCGACGGCGGCGGCCGCTTCTCGCCCCTGGGCGTCGACGGCGGCGGCTCG